CCTCAATGCAAGGACCTGTTTCAAAAGCTTATTGCAGGAAGATGTGACTTGTCTCAGAAATCAAACAGCAGCATCCTTAACATCGTTTCATATGGCGCTTTCTCAAGGGTGACCTCTGCCTAATAGACTTTTACTAATTGTACGATTTTCAGATAATGCACGGTCTACTCTTTCTACTCTTAGCGGTCATCTGTATCGCAACAGTCACTGGACAATTTTTCGGTGAGAAGACAGAATCACTCCGCTCCACACTGCATCTTTCGAAACATGCACTTTGATTCCAGGCGGTGGACCGTATGGCGGTGGATTCAACCGTAGCCCCTATGGCGGTGGATTCAACCGTAGCCCCTATGGCGGTGGATTCAACCGTGGCCCCTATGGCGGTGGATTCAACCGTGGCCCTTATGGTGGTGGTTTCAACCGTGGACCCTACTTTGGATGATATCAATGATCTCTGTGATGTAAATACACAATACTGGAAAAAAACGATAAATTTCTTTTCAATGGCTGCATAACTATATTTCCCGCAATTGTTAACTGGGAAATTCTGATCGTTTTAAAAAGGGAATGTGACCTAATATTCAAGCTGAAGGAAGCTAATAAGCACCGCAAACTATCAAATGCAGTGTTATGTAGTTTCATTTGAAAGATGGATTTTTTCGAACAAATAAAATAAGGAGCAGGCCAAGCAAAGAAGAGGATATTTCATTCTCGTGTTAAGCATGTAGACCAGGACACATAGCAGGCGACAAGTTGCCGTAGAGCTTGTGACTGAACAGTGCCTTCAGTTGACTGGAACAGTCATTATCTCAGGGTCGCAGGCTGGACGAACTACTGAAGATGAATGCAAGTTTTATTCGGCGATTGGGCGCATTTCGGCTTGATAGGGGCACCTTTACAGTCACCTTGTAAAACCTGCAACACCTGAAACCAAAGCAGCTCATTTGTGACATTCGCATCGCGAGGTTTTACAGGTTCTGTCGTGGTGAAAGCTGCTAGTCAACATGAACCAGAGGAAGGAACAGGCGAATGCAAAATGTCCCCTTCAAGCCGATTAGCGTTTCCCAGTGTCGCGTTCGATGCTCTCCAGGAGTCGCAGGTACTCTTTATCACAGGACCC